GGACCTTGGCAGAAAAACATTCCCACCTCTGCTGTGGACGCACGCACCAGCAGAAAAACACAAAACCAAAAAGCAGAGCTAGGCACAGGATGAAGAAGGCAACACAAAAACCGATTTTCAGTGTAGAGGAGTCTAACCCCCGGCCCCGCGGAACACCAGTACTGCCTGCCTTTTCCCGACCTCCCCTCCCCTCCCTCTCCACGACTAGAGCTTCCAGGGGCCCAGGCTCGGCCTCTCGGAATGACTGACCTACGCTACCTCGAGAAATGCTGTTGGTTTTCTCAGAGCAGAGATGGGAAGAGGGCAGACACCAAGTGCACTTTGCAAATGCACTTGGCCAATGACAAAGGGACAAAGGACACTTGAAACCAGGTCCCAGGGCACCCTCCTCCCACACAGGTGACTTCTTAGTTATTTGCTGAGCGTGGTCTCTGGGTGAGCACTTGGTAGGTGCTTTTACAAGCATCCCGGAATGTTCAAAGGCTCTCTTTAGACATGCCTTAAGACGACACTGCCCGGGTGTGCAGGTCTGCACTGGAGAAATGGGAAATTCCAGCGGGATGGCAGTCAAACAAGGAAGTGGTTTGATTATTCACCAAATGGTTATGTGCTCACCAGGTGTTGAAGAGCATCAGTTCAATAAAGCAAGCTTTGTTTCTGGGGACAAAGCTTGAGCGGGGAATGGAAAAGAAGAGTGTGTGACTAGGTTGGAGAAATTAGCTTTCCAATTCCTTCCTCTATTAGTGACTTGACTGGGCATCAGGCTCATCTGAAGAGCTTTGGAAATAACAGTCCTAACCCAACCCCATAACACCAGCCCTAGGCGTTGGAACATAAGAATCTGAACTGTTGCAAGTTCAGGAGCCCTTTTGACATTTGTGCCCTAAGAATTGAACTGGAAGGTGAAGCTGTCTAATTTGAGCACAGGCACTACGAAGCTTTGTCTGCCTCTGCCCTCAGGGCACTTGCACAGTCACTGTGATGATAGGGTAGCTGCCAACAAGGCCATAGCACTGACTCAGACCTCACTGCTATTCACTTGGGAGCCCTGGTGGTGTCCTGGGTCACACCAGGCCAGTAGTCCCACACCACCAATTGCTCTGTGGAAAGAAGACAAGGGGTCCATGCCCTGTAAGACTTACAGTCATGGAAACCCACAGGAGTTGTTGTACTCTGTCCTACAGGGTTGCTATGAATCTGAATCGGCTCAATGACAAAAAAGATTGGTTGATCCTTTTGGCCATCCTAGATACCCAACTCATAGCAACTCCAGAGGATTGAAAGCTTCTCCTTAGGGCTCACGAGACACTAAATCTTTATGGGAGTAAAAAGCTTCATCTTTCCAACTGGAAGCCCCCGGAGGCTAGCAGCCCAACACATAACCACGGGCCCCTGTATTCCATTAAAGCCTACATAGTTCATGAGAAACCGGTCAAAGTGTCAAAGTGTACAGTTTTTATGTGTGTGTTGCCCTAGGTCCATCATACCTCAACATTCTAAATAAATCGTCTTTCCTTCCTCTGCACTTGCCGGGAAGGGGACGACTCTGCACAAACAGAAAGGCCCAAGAATGCTCCTCTTCACAAGACAGTTATGGGGTGATCTTCTCATAACCCCGGGCAATCTATGCCGGGTTTTTAGGTAAGGGGAAAAAGCAGCCACATTTAATTAATTACTCATGAAAAGTTGGTTAGGAAAACATACGACATTTGTGGGACTGTGAATTTACTTACTCCTTTCTCCTAATGTGCAAAGATTACTGGTTATACTCTTACAGTAATACAACTCAATCAATATTTACTTTTAACTACTACAAAAAGCAACCGGTGCTTTTTAAAAATCAGGATGGTACATTGCCTTTAGCTAATACTCTGTATATGAGTTACACACTGGTCTGATCCTCATGGCAACCTTGTGATTTTACTTCACTCTCACATAACCATCATGAGAAGAAGGTATTTACTTTTTACCGTTGGGGGGAACAAAAGCGTAGTAAGGGTAAAAATGTTTTCCTTAAGGCCATTAGGTCTGGAAACCATTGGAAGAACAAGATGGCATCTTCCATCTAAGGCCAAGGCCAAGGCCCTCCAGTGCAAGCCACCTTCTACCATGGAAAGTGGCAGGCCTGGGTTTTTCACTTGCGATGTTGGGCACAGAGTAGATTTCCGGTCAATCTAGACTAAGTGGCAAGTATCTCTTTCTACCCTTTATGGAGAGCCAAGTTGTCTGGCCCCAGAATCGAACACACGATTGGTGCTCATTGTAAGCCCAACAGCTATTGATGGAGAATTAGAATGAGTGTTTATTATGTAATTGAATCCTAGGACGTTGTTTCTTTAATGATGGCAATGAGTGCTTTTCAGCTGCTATCATATAACAACACTAAATTTAAAAAAATCAAATAAAGTCACTTATATCAAGTGCCAACGTTCTCACGGCTAACAGGACAAAAGAGCAATTCCGTTGGAGGGACTGAAGAACCTTTAGGATTTTCCACACATGACGTTCTAAGATCTCATCCTAGACCACACCAGATGGATAGCCAACCAGATTGCTCTGGGAACCAGTGACGGCCAATTGGGATTGCCAGCAGAATGCCCCATGTTCATGGTGTGGACAATACTGCTGGTAGAGTAACTGGTTCAGCACATGGGACGAGCAGTCTGATTCCCAGAGGGAACCCTAATGGCTGACAAGACTTACTGCTGCTCAGCAAGGCCCCTGGGTGGTAAAAAGGAACGATAATAAAAGCAAGCAGGCTTTTATTATCCTAAGAATACACTGCTGGCTGGCTGGCTGGCATAAATACATATTTGACTTTTAAGTTTGCTTTGCTCTGAGCAGCCTAGTGAATTTTGACACTGCCATGGAAATGTCCTGGCAGTTTCTAACAGTGTGTTACACAGGGGAGGGAGGTGACCAGAGCAGTGGCCTAAGTTCTGCTATGACATAGGCCACCAGTGGCTGGCCAGCTTGCCCATCTCTGCTGCCTTCATATAGCCTGGTGTGACACGGCTGTCACTTCCCTGACTACCTACTTTAGAGGATCCAGGGTTTTTGAGTTCCCTGAGAGAAAAACCTTCAGCAAAGAACTGAAAGGATTTAGCATTCCTGGTATTACCCTTTCCGTCTGAATTAATCTTTTCAAAGTATTCTGAGATCCGAGGAAGGCAAATTCGCTAGAAAAACTAAGCATTATTCCAGGTTGCCTTTCCTAAGTCAAAAGCATCCGGTCTGATGCCCTGATCAAGGCAGTAAAAATTTCATAGAGAAATGAAGAGGCATATAAAATGCAATCATTCTGAATAGCCAAAATTCAACTCTTAATTTACCCCACCCATCCGTTCACTATAATAAATATTTATTAAGTAGATATACTTCACAAAGCACCCAGCCAGATGCTGTAAGGATATAGAATTATGCAAGAATATCCTTACATGCTCCGGTACTACAACGATGCCATAAGATGAAACTGTTAGATAGCTGGCATAGGGCCTGGCGCGCCCATTGCGCATGCTCAGAGGTTCGAGCCAGGAAGGTGTGGTACACCTAGGTGGGCGTTACACCTGGATTGGCCCATCTAAGCCAGGGGAATTTGATTCAGCCAATGGGGTCGACCAGGATTGTCAACCACGCCCCCAACAGGGACCCTGGAAAGGGCAGAGGTCTTGCTCTGGGCTCTCTCCCCCAGCGGCTGCTACACAATGTAGCACAGCCGGGCTGCGGTCCGCAACTGTGCGGCGGGCTGTCTGGCTTGTGTTCCATTCACTGCAGGACCTGAAACTGCTTCTGTTCTCCATAAACCCACCTCGATCACAAACCAGGCTTCGGTGTGAATTCTTTCTCAAAATGGAGCCAAGGACCCAGATATACCTCTACCCTGGGAGATCTAACAAAATCTTTGGATTTCCCTTAGAAAAACACAGGGTTCCAATTTCCCCAGGATATGGGGGAACAAAGTGTTTCTCTCCACGCGGTGACTTTCTAGAAGCCTCAGAGCAGAGTGGCTGCAGAGCTGGTGGAGGAAAGTCTTCGCGTCTCAAGAGCGACTGAGTTAAAGGAAGCGGGAGTGTTCATTTCACTTTCCTCTGGTTCGACGGGGCGGGAAGGAACCCCGCACGTGCCTCTCAGTCCGTCAGGAGCTGGAAGCGCGCTGTCTGGAAAGTAGGACGAGGATCATCCTCACGTGGTGTGGGGAAGATCAAGACAGCGTACAACGATGCCAGGGAACAGCACGTCCCTCGGGCTTCCTGGCAGGCCTGCCATAGTAAATCACGCCCAGCCGCAAGGAAGGCAACGGTAAGCCCTCTCACGCCTCACTGCAGCCTCTGACGGAGCACGAGAAGGAAAATTACGGCAACCCTTTCAAGTTCGCTCTTCAATCCGAGCAGAAACTGCAGTCTGGGCATTTAAGGGGATAATCTCCCTGAAGTTGGGGTGAAAGACGTGTTCAGCAATTAGGCCGTGTCTTTACCCAATTAATAGAAAACAGGAGGTCCTAAATGCCCTTAAATCGTTACTGGCATTGTTTTGCCAGAACGGATGGTTGGAAACAAGGTAAATTATTATTATTTTTTTAAGGTAAATTCTTTGCGTGTGTTTACTTTCCCTTCTTCAGAATCAGGGCAAAATTGTCTTCAAAATTAGAATCAACTTCTTTCAGATCTGCTTCTTTCGTTTTTAATCTGTTTTCCCAAAGCGGTAGGACTGCTGACCTTGAACCTCGGGGGTAAAGGAACGCTGAGCACCAGCTCTGTGCCCAAGGGGCGGGAATGAAGGGCTCAGTGTCACTGAGGACACGCTCACACCGGGGTTGGCCGCACGGAGGACACAGGCGCGGCGTCCCGGGTGCTCCAGGGCCCGCACCAGGCCGTCCTCCGAGGCCCAACCGCAGGAGCACGGCGGCCGTTTGTCCCGTGGTGCATTTCATAGGCAGCCCCCGCCCGGTTCTTGCTTATTCCTCTCTTCCACCCCCACCAAATGAACGGATATCAACGTACATGGCTCCCGGGCGATGAACTGAGGTACAGTGTTGGGCAGAGGGGTACTGGGGTTTGGAGTCCCGACCAGCTTGTTCTTGGCCATCTTCGTGTTTGCCTTAGCAAACTCTAGTCGTAGTGTTTGCGGAATTTCAGGATCGAAGCGGATGCCCTTTGGAAACAGAGAACAAATGGAAGATGTTTTCATTTCCAACCGGAATGGTGACAAAATAAACATGCCAGTAAAGCTTAGCCTATGTGGCGAAGAGGTCAGCAAGCCACTCATTCTCACTACACACACACAACCCACGGGAAGCCCAACAGGATGGATGGGGGTGGGGGGTGGGGGTGGGTATAGGGAGATGATTTCCTACTTGATTTACAAATCTGGTTACTTTTTTTTTCCTTCCCTGCTTGGACAAAAGCTTTCCAGTGAAGTCATAATATTTGGACCTGCAAATTCCTAGTGTAGTTGAAAAATCTCAATTAATAGCTACCATAAAAAACTAACTGGACATCTTAAGAGGCTTCTGTGCTGACCAGCATTCTGATTTAACAGAAAAATAAAACAAATGCAAAAAAAAAAAATTCCTGTACATGTCTTCATGCCATCAGCTCTCACTGGGGAGGAAATGTGGTGAATGCGTGTAAAGGTGACACAGCTATGTGGTAATCAGAAGACACGAATGGATACGATGTTAGGATGCGAATACCAGGGGCCTTCAAAAGAGTGGGCAAGTGGAATGTGAATGTAGTGGAACATCTTTCTGAAGCCCCTTCATATAATGAGTTTGATTCTACTTGGTTTATAAACTAGCTACAAGAAAAGCTTGGTCAACAGAAGATCAAATTGCCACTGACTCTGGTGCCTAGGATCAGTTTACTTAGAGCATTTAGAAAATTCTCAACACTGAACAAAGTAAGATTCCGTGTAAGACAATCCTTACCTAGGCATCTTCCAACTAAAGAATGCTTCCTCAGTAAGCACGACAAAGACCTGCTGCTCCTGTCAAAAACACATCCCCGTAGAGTGCAGGAAGGAACATCCAAAGAAGACTGAGGCTGTGGTTGGATGTGTGGCATGTTCCGGAAGGGGCATGAGCACTGCACACGTGGATTGCTGAGAACATGGACATTCGGTCAGTGTTCTTTAAGTATAGACCTGAGACCGTCTGCTCCATAGCCCCCTGTCTTCTTCATGAGCGTGAAGAACGGTAAAAGTAGACTTCCCTAAGAAATGAGTAAGAATTGCTGACACTCCAGGCCAGGATGAAGCGCTCTAGATCTGACGAGGCGCAGCCTGTGACGGGAAGGCAATGGCCGTGGGCGGAAATGGGGGGCGAGAAGGGGAAGGAACAGAAGGCCCAGGGGGACGTACAACGAAGCCACAGAGCCCTGACCCTGAGGCATCCCGGAGTGGCTGGACTGTCTTCAGGAGCCTGATTGTTTGTCGTGGACGAAGAAGCCAAGTCAGGATGACAAAGAGGAAGAAGAAAAACAAGGGAATCCACTGTGTAGTCCTAACCCACACCGAAAAATGAAAGCTGGTGCCTGGTTTGTGAAAAAGAAACAAACAAACAAACAAACAAACAAACAAACATAAACCAGTCACAGCAACAACAAAACAATCGCTCTTTCCCTTTCCTGGGTTTATTTTTATTTTTAATTCAGGAAAACTCAGTGTTATCTTGCCAAAAACGTATACAAGGAAAAGGAACCCAGCGGCCCTCGTCCGTATTTGCTTCCCGTCGCTGCCACTTCAGAGGATTTCACTTTATCAAAGCTAGCCTCACAAGAGAATACGTATTTCCAAATATGGACCTGAAACACTGGTCTGCCTGGAGACAAGTGCCATTCCTGGCTGTCAAGCCGAGGTTCGTGCTGCTGCAAAGACTTTTATGGCGAGACCAAGCCCCAAGGCTCTAACACCTTGCAGCTGCAGACCCAAAGCATTCAACCCACAACTTTGCTGTGTGCAGCTCCACATGTCCTGAGCACCTCAGGCAGAGAGCCTCCAGCCCCTGAGAAAGGAATTCCGTCTCGCCTCTGCCAGAGTCAACTGAGGGCCCATACAAAGTACTTGCCTCTTGCACAACCTGGGGTTGGTGGCTTACCTCCTAAAACATGCCCGCTACTCGGACTCCACCCCCGCCCCCCCCTAGAGCTAAAATAACACCACTGAAGTATTCCAAATCAAAGTTCCAGCATCCTTTAAATGACCTAATTTGTTTGGCAGCTTATTGAGGCTGGAGGCTCAGAACAAGCCACATTCCTCTAACATCTTTAGCAGCAATACCATATTTGGTAATCAATATCCTGCCCAGCTAAATTTCTATCCACGGGGATTAGCCAAGTCAAAAACATTGGACATGTTCAAGGAGAAGGAGGAGGAGGAGGAAGCGAGGGGTAGGAGAGGGAACTGGGAAATGAACAAGAAGAGAAAAAAAAGAGCGATAAGAAAGAAGACATGGAAAAACCCAAACCAAATTAAAACGACAAAGTGAAAAAGAAAACAAAAAAAGCAACCTTGTGAAAAGCCTATTATTAAAGCCTAATATGATTATGCTCTGGGTACAGTGACTCCACATTGAATGTTGTCAGGAAAAGACTACTGCCAATTCAAAGGAATCGAAATCTGTGCCATTCAAAAATCAACTTCTATCTCGCCAATAATTCACCCAACCTCTTCTTAGAATGAACGGAAATGTTTTTCTTTCCAATGTAAATGGTGTCCTGTTTATATGGAAGCCAGAAAGGGCAGTTTCTAATGATATTATGGTGCTACGGGGCAAGCCACCAATCTCTGCAAACTGGCCTAACACGTGGCGAGACGAAAGCAGAGTGGGTTCAATCCAGGATAAGAGGCTAACCCACGATGTAGGGCGCACACACGCTGGGGGACAGAAAGATACTGCCGACAAGTTCTGCATCCTCAGTGGTCTGGCGCCTCAGAGGACACCAGGGCAGTTTCAAACCCATCCTGCTGACACTTACATAGTTTTCTTTTCTGGGCTACAAAGATGTCCTGTCCATAAAACATTTCATGGTGCTTGTTCCTTTCAGAACCTTCTCTGTGGCCTTCCACAGGTCAATCTCCCTCTCTATCAGCACTGACCCTCGCCCCACTTTTGCACTGAGGGAGCCCCGGTGGCAGGGTGGGGACACTCAGGGTGGCCAACGGCAAGATCAGCAGTTTGAAGGCAGAATGACAGGGTTTCCTATTCCTGCAAACAGTTCCAGTCTTGGAAACTCCCTGTCCTATCGGGTGTACTATGAGTCAACATCGACACGACGGCAGCCATAGGTGACTCAACCCTCAGTTTCCCTCAGCGACCCCTGCAATGCCTACCACTCCAGGTATGTAATCACCAGAAGTGCTAATAATGCAATCAATCTCTAGATCGGCGTTCCCAGGCATTAGAACGTCCTAAGAAAAATTAAAATGACTATTTATACATTGTAAATGCTGGAAAATCACAGAACAGTTATTATGGCCCAGTCAGTCTCTGCTGAGAATGTTTTTTAAAGCTCATTTTAGTATCTTTCTCTTACGTTTACTAATTCACTGCCTCTGAATTAATGCTGTCCTGCAGCACAGAGAAGCACTGCCCCTGGGGGTTTCTGAGACTCTAACTCTTCATGGGAGTAGAAAAGCCCGTCTTTCTCCCACTTACAAGACAATCACCTTCTGCCCCGGCCTAGGCCATCCCCATGATGGAGGCCATGGTGATCTATGGGGTTTCTCTCTGGCTGACGTTCAGTAGCAGATCACCAGACCTTCTGCCTAGTTTGCTTAGCCTGGAAGTTCCGCAGCACCCTGCTCAGTACCAGGCCAATGCACAAGTCACCAATGCCTAGGGTCCAACCTAGCTCTCTCGCATGGAAGGGAGAAATTCCACTTCTGATCTGAACCACCATTGCTGCTCCAGCAACTTCTAGAGAACAGGAAAATGGCATCTTCGTGCTCTAGAAGCTATAGCAAAACCTGGCATCCTAGAGAAATACGTGATGCATTAGCCGGGGGTTGTACGTTGGGTGCTAACCACAAGGTCAGCAGGCCAAATCCACCAGCTGCTCTGAGGGAGAAGGGCGTGGCTTTATACTCCTATAAGCAGTGAGAGCCTCGGAAAATCGGTGGGGGAGTCCGACCCTGCCCGTCCGATGGGTCCCTGTGAGACAGTATCAACGTGAGGGCAGTGAGTTTGGTGGTGTTCGTTTTTTTCAGAAAGTTTAGTACATAAGACACACCAAAAAATGGGTTAAGTTAAGGGGAAAAAAATCCCCTAAACCCAGAAGGCCACTAGGGATGCCATGAAGAAGTTATAAATTGAATCTGTCACCAAGCCCGGTTCCTAAATTGCTTTCCTGGTTTTCTGTCTGTTGTGATACTGGCTTCTGGAGCCCCTCGCTGGTGCTGAGTGGTTCACTAGCTTGAAATCATGGGTTTGGGATCATATCAAAGATTATTCTGGACATAAAAGCCTAACATCAGTCCACCGTGTCTTCAGAAAGGTCACTGGTACTGGATTAATGCAATCCTACTTGAGTGGCTGTAAATATTGGTTTGAAGGTGAGTCACTGAACAACAAAACAAGACCGAAAGCAAACAAGAGGGAAAGGGACTCAGCAGGCAGATTACAGTGCTCTCAATCGCAGTGTGTGGTCCTTAACAGGACAAACCAGATGCAAAGGACTGTTTGAGGAAGCTGGGAAACGCTGCATACGGATTGCATCCTCTGTGGCAACTTGGGAATTCCTGTGTTGAAGAGTTTGATTAGTTGTGACAATGCTCTTACAGTGTTGGGGGTGTAGTTGCCCTGTAGTTGACTGAGTTAGTTAATTGTGCCAGCCTGGCCCATAATCACATGTGGTGCTGGTTGAAAGGCGGAGGGATAAATGGGTGGTGAAGCCTCGCCTTTCTAGTTCT